CACAATACCGAAATAAAAGTGATCGGTCTTGAAATAGGTTTAGAGAAAACAGAGATTAATGAAAACACCGAAAGAATTGGGGGAAAACATCAATAGGGCAAATGCCCTATTAATAGGTAGTTAAATATTCGGAAGGGCCATCGGTTGGGGTACTTGCTTACAATTTATAGAAGACTTGGGTCGTTGACGGCATGTGCAAAAGATTCGTTTCAAGTTGAAGAAAATTTTCTTATGCTGGGTTTTTTCTCCCCCCAATTCTCTGCTCATTTTATGATTTTTTTTCAGTCATTGATTTTTGTGTATTCTTTTCCGTTTTCCTTTTTATTCTTTTTTTAATCAAATAACTCTATCAAAATGTTAAACAAATGATTCTAATGATTTTTGTTGTTGCTTTTTTTTTGCTTTTTTGTTCCGTTACACTCATACTCAACTGTTTGTTTTTGCTAAAGGTAACTGCATGAGAGAAGTGGTGTTGGAGGGTCTGGTTATATTTGGCCATTTCTTCATATTCAATAATTTGCTTGATTGTTTGAAGTGCTACTACACATACAAATTGTATTGTATTTTGTATTTTTTTTTTTTTTTTTTTTTTTTTAATTTTTAGCTATTGAAAAATCTTTTGGCCTTTCTCTGTAGAGGTTTCTCTTGGAAGTTCTTCTATACAAAATGTTTATACATTTTGTTATTGCAATCATTTCAGTCATCATCACTAGCATAGCATTGTACAAAGATGTGATTTATATAACAAATGCTTTTGCAATGTTCTCGTTAAGTATTCAAATATTTACAGAATAATTTTTTTTCTACTCTGTTACATGTGGCGCGTTACCGGTACATCGAATATTTTTGCTTCTCTTTCTCAATCGCCAACTCTTTCTCGCTTAGCATATTTTCTTTATTTTTTCCTTTTTTTTCTTGTATATATTTATATTCTTTTTTTCTGGTGAGTTTTTTTTTTTCTTTTCCTTCCTGCTCGTAACGGCAAAAATTTAAAATTTAACACACCCACCCACACACACACACATACACATTGATGCATAGTTTGATTGTTAGATACGGTTGTATAGCAACAAAACATTGTGCTACCCGCACTTTTGTCAACAACTGTTCGCGTTTAGCACCAGAGCTCAACCATGACACGTTGCCAAAACGGGAGAAAGTGGAAAAGAAAAAAATACGTTTAAAGTGCTATTTATGGTATATTTACAAGTTTTGCTTTTTATTTGGCATTTTGCTTGTAGGTTTTCATTTTTTTATTTCCCTCTGCTCAGCTGTCTGTTGTATTGTACTTGAACATTCTCACTCAATTGACATTCCATTGTTGTCTGTTGATGTTGTATAGTCAAACTTTTTGCTTAGCTGTACAACACACGTCATTTTTCTATCGAAATCGCGTATTGTTGTTAGATGTCATTGTGCTCATTATACAGAAAAAGTTTTCAACATACACACGTTTATGCTTAGCTAGTACGAATCAAACGCATATCTGGCAGAGATAAGCGCTTCTATCATATATACATATATATATTGCTACGCTTCTGAAAAAGCCAAAAATGAATGAAATTTATCATAAACTAAAATAAAAAAATAAGTTTCTTTTTAAACTAAAATTTAAAATATTTTTACTTTTACTACGAGATTTCTTCAGCGACTTTCAAAAATATTTAGAGTGATTTTTAAGGATGACTTGAACGTGTGGGCCGTAGAGAATAAGTTATCGCTTGGAACAAGTATTAATAAGGAAGAAGAATGCATGTAGTTAGCGCTGCTAACGTTTTCTGGAGGAACTGCGTAGTAAATCGCCCAGCGTCCACATGATAAGAAATCCCTAAAATTCCTTTTAGCATATCGGGTCGTTTTTTCTCCAACGGTCGCCCCAATATCATAACTTATTGTTGATATCCTTCTCATTCCACCAGTGTCGCTTTGAACGCGTCCCTTTGCCAAAACGGACGTTCGTTTCCTGTATTCGACAACACGTCACTGTTTTTAGGACCAACTTACACTACACATAGCATATATAATATGCAACTAAGTATTGTGCGTAAAATAGTTTCAAAATATTTAATCGAATCGAAATGAGAACCGAATTTTCTTCACCCTCTTAGAATGACTTTTACGCATGGATTGCATGGAGATCATTGCAATTAAATGTCGTAAGTAACATGCTTTACAATCGCTCACAGACGAGCAAAGCCATCATTTAGGAAAAGCAAAGAGGACTCATTTCTCAACCTGTTATGATTATTGTGGTAAGTCACGGCCATTGTTAAATATAATATTTTCGATATTATTGTTCTGCTTAACTAAATGTTAAATATGAAGAGAAGAAGAAAAAAAAATTGATTTAATGTCGGGTTCTTTGTTTTCCAAAATATTTGATTATGCTTTTGCTTTTCGTTCTAACGTAACCAACCATTAACATATTTCACTGTTTTCAATGTCTTAATTAAAGTCTCTCTTGCATTCAAATTCATTTTCACAATTTTCATTTGAAGTAAGTGTTTTTGCAGTTTCCTTATTTTGCATACTTTTTCTTTGCCATTTTCATTTGCACTCGTGTGTAAGCAAACATGCATATAAACATAAACACACACACACACACACACACACATATATATATATATATACATATATGTATATATACATTTAAAATATATTTATAACACGTATACACACATATATTTATATATTTAGGTTTAATGCTATATGGCAGAGAGAATTTCGCTCACAGCAAATGCAAATAATTACTTCAGAAAATATGGCACAAATTAAAATAGTCACTCTTGGCAGTTTTCACGCCATCATCATCATCAAGTGAAGTCATGCCAGAAATTGGCGTACTAGCTAAATACATTCATAAAACTCTTTTTCTTTTTTTTTTTTTTGGAGTAAGAGAAAACTACTATATAAACGTTCGCGCTGTACGCATACACATGGTCTAACATTCAAAAAAATATTTAGCTGCATTTATTATAAATCCAGCTCTCTTTTTGCAAGGAAAAGAAGCAGGGAAAAAAGAAAGCTGGAAAGGGGAGGGAGTAAACGAAAGGGCAAATTTTAGTAAAATGGGCAATAAAGGCAGTTAATGATGATGGTCAGCATATTTATTGCAATAAATGAAATGAAACATTAAACGAGCAAAACCTAAACAATACCCAAAAAGTTGCCTCAGCAGAGTGTATGGGGAATATGAGCGAACGAAAAGAACGCGTTAAATAAATGCATTTCATTGAAAAATATGTTTTATTTCCTTTGTTTCTCCTTGCAGCTACGAAAGGAACGGTAGTTATGTCGAGTTCACCGTCATACGAAAACCGAATTAAAATTTAATTACGTGGCGGAATGAAACTTAAAATAGTTTCGCATAACAAATTGCACTCCTTTTTGATTTAATTGCCTCCACATAAACAACATTATTGCTTTTACACCTTCATTTAAATCAAAATGCGAAGTAATTAAAACCGCTTTAAAAAAAAATTCGTTTACAAATTTTTGCATAAATTACTTTGACTGGGTGAGAGCATATATATGAAATTATTACTGCTCGCAATAAAATATTCAAACAAAATATAAACGACAAGTAAAAGACACAATCAAAGAGTTCTTTAAAGAAAAAACAACAGCGAAGGTAGAGCAAGTCAAGAAAGTAGAGGAAACGGAAACGGAGTTAACCTAATGGTTCGATCTCTTATAGGTACAGCTCTTTCATGTAGTGTGGGCGTGTTCGGTTCTTTTTCCTAAGTTTTAGAGAATCCTTGTTAATATTTGCATCGAATTTCCGAACGGTAGGTTACGTGCGTACTGATCTTATGTCGCTTTTCATTGTGGGAGTTTTGCAGGGAAGCCTGTAATTGGCCCAATCCGTGGGAAGAGCTTCCTTGCTTGCTCCGTGTGGAACTGCGTTGGGGCTGCTTGTCTGAATCAAAGAAATCGGAAGAGATTAGATGTGCCTCGCTTTCACCAGAAGGCGGGCATCTGGCATTCGGGTATTAATGAATGTCGCGGCGGTAAATATGCTTTTTCTCTCAATTTGCTTCATCGGACCCCTTTGGGTTAAGCCTTAACAGCACCTTAACTCCAGAAGGCATCTGTCCTCCTGTTCAAATATTTGAGGGATCACGACCAATTTTGGGAGTGATTTTTGGCCGTTTACTTAAAAAGCTAAGGCTTAGTGTATATATTCCAAGTCGACAGTCAAAGATCGCACTCAAAAGTGGTCGTGATACCCTGAGTTCAGTTGTGATGCACAGTGATGTGCCTACTGATTAATAAAGAATTAGTAAACGCATCAAAAGGAAACTCTCAGTAAGATGACAGTTCAATATAAAAATTCCGAAACATAAGCATATGCGTCGAGGATTTCCAACAAACCATGGGCTTATAACAAAAAATGACTTTGGTTCGTCATTCCGGAAACACCGTAGTAAACTGATAACCTAACTGATTGTTAGGGAATCTTTTCGATTATCCCAACTGATATTTGTTGTCATAAATTCTCAATCCTTAAATTTTAATTTATGTAATTTGAATTTTTTTCAGGATCAAGAGAAAGAATTTTTATGATATGCGATGAGTGTATTCAGAAAGTTAACTCAAACGAAAAGATACGAATCCTCTAACAATTTGTGCAATGAAACAAACTGTGTCATTAGTTAAAAATGAAAAGATATTTTTTATTTTTGTCAGCCTACTTGAAAAATGAAGGGGAAAAAAATGAAATCTTGGATTCTCTTGCTGATCACGTTAGCAGCTATAACAATTTTTTCTGTCGAAGGCGCTGAGAGGCGTTACTGCTGACATTTTATTAGTTAAGAGAGTTTGTCTAGAGCCAAAAGAGTTAACGGAACTTATGTCTACTGGTGATGGTATGCCCAGTCATTTTTTCCAGGCCCCAAGTTGATTGTTGGTTAAACGGAAAGCTCCGCATGGAAATAAGTAATTGAATTCTCCTAGACGCAAGGACCCAACCCCTCACTGTGAGAGAGAAGCTAAAGCTCTGTCTAATCGTAACGAATGCGAATTTACGTTTTATATACATTAAATATGACCGAACATACGCTCTTAACTATAACTTAACCGAACATCTTAATTATTTCTTATAATTAAATCTAAAATAAACGATAAATATGTCGAGTTTGGTTTTAAAAAGAAAGCACGTTTAGCATTTTCGTGGTAGCGCACAATTCATAGATAAAGTGATGGAAATATTTTTAACTTTAACTTGTTCGCAATTGACTCCGACACATTTAGGAGTCTTATTGTCTTCGCCTTTCGTGCGCAACACTACAATGCAGAAACGGAATCACAAAATATTAAATCTTTGCCGGCATTGCTCTGAAAAAAACGAAAAGAAATTTAATCATTCATTGTTTGTGAATTTTTTAAATTGATTTGAATACTTACACTATAGTTGGAGTGTCCTCAAGAATCCTTGAGGACGAATGGGAATTATTAATTATCAAAACTTACTGTCTACTTGTATTGCTAATTTCACACTGAATCCAATAATACGAAAACTTCTTCTACTACTCATGCTACTCAGTACCAACGCGTTTTATAAAGATGTAAAAATTTCTTATCACCTCATTATATCATGTAAAAATTGCTTCGCCTAAGCAGAACACAGTTGTAAATTTTTACGGTCGTAACGATTAATTGAATATGTATATAGATCAACAAGAATGAAAAAATCAATAAAATTAACTGAACGACATTTTCTTGTTATTGCAAGAAAAACAAGAAAACCGTAATAATTAATTTGGAGCAAGAATAATTACTGACGTAAATGAAATCGTAAATTACGTCGTTCTACTAAAAAGATGCAGGTGTTAAATTTTACTTTCTTCAAGCTATTTTAATTTCATTAATACTCATAGCAAAGCAAAATTTCTTTAAAACTTCTTTGAGTTGAAAGCGATTGCTTGACTAAGGGAGACGGCATCGTAGGCAAAATGGTTCTGCTTCTCATATAGGTCAACAGAAGCCCGGATAAGAAGAAAAAGAAAACATCAGTTATTGCGTAGACCTCGCAAACTCTTAAGGCACTCCACAGTGTATAAATAATACTTAGGGCAAATATTCTTTTTGTTTTAGTCTACTGAAGATTTTTGATCAGCTTATCATGTGACTTATCCTTACATCCTTTGATGTCATTTTAGTTAATTGCTTATGATAACTCGCTGACGGTAAATCATTTTCGAACAAATCGGTCGATAGATTGTTTGCCTTGTCATGTATTAATTCTTAAAATACTTGCGACCGCTGACGTGAATTCGTGTCGTTTAGGATTGTATACCAAGCTACCGCTGATGTGACATGTGTTAAACGTCATTTCCAATTACATTCCTAGTTGCGGGCGACATGATTTCTCACGCTGCAGTTTCTGTCTCCGAACGCGGCAACATTAGGCTCTTGTTATAATCGCTATTGTGGGACGCATCAACTTATTAAAAGGAATATGTAGCGCTATTGAGATATTCCTTTTTTCTTCATTGGAATTCAAAACTCAACTCAGGCGGACGGACATACGGACAAACTAGCTTGGATCTATTAACAATTCTATTGACTCTTAATCTATTGATCTAATACAAGGAGCGGAGGAGGGGGACGATTTAGGTAAGTAGGTGCTGCATACGCATCTCCACGAATCTAATGCACTCTGTCTTATGTTTTCAGGACTTCGTTCTACATAAGTTTATGGTCCCCTAAGTTATATTTGCTGGCTATATATTTACCACGTTGGTGTTTTGCTCGACTTATTCACAGCTAAGAGATCTCGTCAGGATAATTTCAGCAGTATTAAGATTTTTTAAAGATAAGACTTTCAAATAGGGAGAGAAGTTTCATAATCACAGATAATTATTACGAGGGAAGACAATCCGCTGGCTCTTAGTTAAACATCTAAGGACTTCTGTCTTATGTTTTGATAGCCACAATCCTTCAAACAGAAAATCGTATTTTATTGAATTAATGCTTGGGTTTTTATAATCGTGTTATGCTTTGAAATTTGTAGGTTCTGCTGACTTAAAGATGAAAGAAATCAGTTTTCCGTGATTTGAAACATCGCCCCGTTCGACCATTAAAGGGTCGACATCGTTCGTTACGTGTTTTATGACAAAAGTTTAGCTTTTTTAGTTTGTTTTATTATTATCTCATTCCGTTCTCGTGTGCATTGTTTAATGTCTTTTCCATGTTACTTGGTATAAATCTGGGGATAAATTCAACAAATCTACTTTTGCTTACTATTTCAATTTAGAAAAAATTATATATATGTACACACTGTATATACATATATATGCACACTTTACACTAAGCAATTTTATCTCAATACATATCCGATATTTTATAGCGTTACGGGAAAATCTTACTTTGCTGTATACATATGCACATACGCACATACAAACATGCACAAATCTAAATAGTTGTATTTTTATTGTGGTATAAATGTTATATTTTTCTCGATTTTATAGAAATTCGTTGTGAATGTGCGTTTGTATGTTTGAAATGCATTGAATTGTAAGGAAAACGGAAGAAAAAAAGGAAAATATAAAGAGTTTTCTTTGTAAATAAACCCGCAAAAATAATAATAATAATAATAATAATAATAATAGTAACAACAGCAACAAGAACGCTAACCGGCGACCCAAGTACGTAGATTTTTAGTAAAAACGGTCGTTATTTATTTCTTGTTTATTTTTGTGTTCATATGTGTGTGTGTGCGTGTGTGTTTGCTAAGCATTTTCTTCATTTCAATAACACTCTTCACTTAGCTTAGTACAGCTGTTGTGTGGTGTCGTAGTCTTGCAAAACTGCACCACACAGCATTTAAACGCATTTTCTGAATACAATTTTCTTATACTTTACGTCTCGCACTCTTCTTCAATTAGTTGGTGGATGCGCGGGCTGCTGCGGGCTTAACGGAAACGAAATCTGAAATGCTTTGAGTTAAATTTAACCGAAACGAAAGCAAAACACAACATTTTATACATATTCGTATACACTGCGCTCACACTGACGGACCCGTAGTAGTAGTGTATACGAAATGAAAATCACAATAATGGCAACAAAACGAGACGAACAAAAATTGATGTTAAGTTCTCTGTTGAATGTTTGTGTGTGTTTTGTATGCGGATTTTTGGAAAAACCAAGTTACGCTATTTCTTACTTCTCCTGCCACATCTACAGCTCCCCCCATATATATATCGCATACGAAAATAATATAAAATTTTATTCATTTTTGTTTGTGTTTTCTATAGGGAATACGCACACAGTATATCCGGAGGGGTTTCGAAGAGAATGTGTAAAAGCGAAGAACGATTTTTGCTCAATAAAACGGAATCTTTGAGCTTAACGTTATGGCGCTCGGAGAGACCACCATGAAATAATGAAAAGAAGTTAAGCGAAGTCAACTTTTCACAAATGAAAAATTCTATTTCTTTTTTTCTTTCGCTTTCTATTCTCCTATTTTTTGGGGGGGGGCGGGGGGGTGTGTACTGTTCAACGTTCGAGGTGAATAACAATAACAATAATAAGATGAAATGCTTTGGAAACATATGGAAAGCATTACCTTAAGATTGTTTAAATGAAATGCGGGTGTGGGTGTGTATGCGCCTGTGATTTTCTTCTTTCGTTTATAAGTTGCTCTGAGTGTGTGTGTATGCCTTAGAAAGTTTGTTTGTTTGTTTGTTTGGTTAGCTTGTGACTCTTTGCGCAACTGATGTTGAATTATGACTAAATATCAATTTAGTGCAATGCTTATCAGTCAATGTCAAGTTTTCTTTTGTGTTCGTTCGTAAGCTTTTCTACAAAAAATTACTCCACATCATCCTGTTTGCAGTTGTGTTGTTGTACACAAATAAATACACACACAAACGCATAGAATCGAATGGTTGTGTGTTTATTTTCGTTTTCGTTTTTTCCTCTCAATGTTTTATTTCATTCCTTTCACACCGCACACTAGCTATGTGGGTATGGGTGTCTCAAGCCAATGTTAAGGATTTCCTGAATATATTATAATTCTTCTTCTTCTTCTTCTTATGTTGACAAAGGCAAACCTCAAGCGCAAGAATAATTTGCTTGAATTTGTTTTCGTTATCATTTTCTACTTTTGTTGTTGTTGTTGTTGTTGTTGTTGTTGTAGTTGCTAATATTGCTATTGTTTCTATTTGAAGATTTTACACAATTCACTTAAAATTGACGCTTAGATTATAATATTAGCCAAAATCCGTTAAAAAATTACATAAAATATTAGTAACCAACACAATACAAGCAGAGTTGAAAGTTTAGTAAAAACTTTAAAAAAAATCTATAACATTTTGATCGAATCTCTGCTACTATTGCCATAATTATTTATTTTCATTAGACGTGGTCCCTCTTCCCTCCTCTCTCTCTCTCTATCTCTCTGTACCAGTTTAAAATGCATTCAAAATTCTATTGAAACATCTATGAAAATATAATTGCTGCAGTTAATCATTCAATTTAGTTTCGAAGCTATTGTTATTATTGTTCGGTTGGCTTGCCCTTGTTGTTGTTATTATTCGCATTTTTTTTTTATTTTATTTTTGCCGCTAGATATTCATATTCAATGGAATTGTTTTTCCACCTGATCGATAGCTTTGCATGCTTGCTAGTGCAAGCGTTTTTGCGAATTTCTATATATATGTTTGTGCGTACACGCGAATTGCGACTATATTCGCTTGTTTACATTGGCAATAAAACTCAAGCACATAAATCATAAATATTGCACTTGTCGCTTGCATTTCAACCGATTCACAGGCTACTTTATCCATTTTTTTCTCTTTTTTTTTTTTTCTTTCTTCCTTCCTCTAGCTATACTCTCTTTCGCCTTTGCCCTGAGAGTTGTCTCCTTTGCCCTCTTATTGGTCAAGTTTGTTTCGGCTTTTGTTTTTTTTTTTTTTTTTTTTTGCTTTACTATTATTTTTCATGTTTTTCTGCTTTTATATGCACATTGATGTGATGTGTTTCACATCGATTACCCGCTGTTACGTTTTGTTCAATGCGATTTCAATACGATTAATGGTCGGCGTATGCATAAGGGGATGAGCGCAGCACTGACATCAGACATAACTCTGACTTACGAGATTGACATTCGTTTTATTGATAAGTCGCTTGTAATTGAAAATTCATATGTGTGCGTATATTGATCGTTTCTCATTTTTCCTTTTATTTTCTTCTTTTTTTTTTTTTTGCGTGAAATGAAAGGAGAAGAAGACAACAAAGTAAAACAAAAGTAAAAAGTTACTTCTTTTCAAAAAATAGAAAAAAATTGAAAGTTGTACGCTTTAACAACGTTAAACGTGATCAAAATTACGTAGGTCTAAGGAACATATATCTGGCGATTTGTATGAATAAAAGTCAAAACAAGAGTAATATCTTTGTTTTTTTGTTTTTTTGCGAACTGAAATAATGAAGTCAATATTTTACCGTTAGTGTGGTAAATGATCTCCGCCTAATCGATTCATCAGGAACGATGGCGGGTAAATTAAATGATATTCTTAAGAGATTCG